TTCTGATGATCAAGTGCTAAGGAGTTACACTGCCGACCCAAAGGCAGGCAGTACAAATCCACCAGCTGATTCAAGGCAGAACGATGGGCAATCCCCTCCTGTGCATCCTACAGCCTCTGAAATCCTGTGGAAGTGTCAGCTATGAATCAGTTCCAACTTGATTTAACAAGTATAAGTATATAGTTGTTATTGTTGTTAGGTGCCATCAAGTAGCGTATGATTCACAGGGACCCTATGAACAAAAGATCTGAACTCTGTTCTATCCTGTGCCAGCCTCACACTTCTGACCCATTAGATTGCACGGTAGTAGTCACCGTATCTATCCACCAGGTTAAGGTTCTTCACCGATCTTCTACCTTTCTGAGCAGCTCATCCCTCTCCAAGGAATGGCACCTCCAACAACATGCCCGAAGTATGTGAGAAAAAGCCTCACATGCTTTGCTTCCACTCTTAGCTTCACCTTCTCCAAGACATATCTGTTTATTCTTTTGACTATCCATGGGATGTTCAGTGCTCTTCTCCAGCACCAATAGTTCAAAGGCATCAATTCTTATTCTGTCATCTTTATTCATTGTCCAACTGTCAGATTCATAGCAAGTGATTGGAAACACCAGGGCCTGAATCAGACACACCTTAGTCCTCAAACTCACATCATCATTCCTCAATTATTTTGAGAGGTGCCTGACTACAGACTTTCCCAGGGCAATACATCTCCTAATTTCCTGACTGCTGGTACCAGTGGTGTTGATGTGGATCCAAGTAAGATGAAGTTGTTGACAGTTTCAACCTTTTCTCCATCTATCCTGATGTTGCTTATTCGTCCACTGGTAAGAATCTTTGTTTTCTTGACATTGAGATGTAATCCATACTGAAAGGCTGTATTCTTTGATCTTCTGCAACATGTACTTCAAGTTCTTCTCACTTTCAGCAAACGAAGTTGTGTACCTGCACACGCAGGTTATTGATCCTTTCCCTGATCCTGATGCCACATTCCTCTTTATAGAGTCCAGCTTCTCAAATAATTTGCTCAATTTATATATTGAATAGGTATGGAAAGAGAATATAATCCTGATGTACTCCCTTCTTAATTTTGAACCATGTCATGTTCCCTTGCTCATTATATTTATAATGTGTATTATGCATGTATTTTAATTTGTTTGTTATTATGTAAGACAGGAGCTATGAAGATTTCAAATTGGCCCAGAAGAAATAAGTTAATTTTTTGTTTGCTCCTTTTGTTGTGTTTTTTTTTTATTTTTTTTACGTGTCCCGTCAAATCAGATCTGACTGCTACAGGAGGAGAATTACCCCTCCTTCTCCAGCAGAGCATCTGGTGGATTTGAACCGCCGTTGTGGTTTTTTTAAAAAAAAAAACACACACATTATTATTTTATAATGGTTTACTCGCATGTAAACCATGCAAGCAAGATTCTGCTGAAAATTATCCAAAAATGACTGAAACAGTACATCAACAGAGAACTGCCAGATGTCCAGGCTGGGTTTAGAAGAGGCCATGGTACCAGTAATATTGTAGCTAATGTTAGATGGATCTTGGCTGAAAGCAGAGAGTATCAGAGGAATGTTTCTCTGTATCTCATTGAGTATGCAAAGGCATTTGACTGCGTGGATCGCAACAAACTGTGGCTAACTATGAGAGAAAAATGGGAATCCCAGAACATTTGATTGTGCTTATGCGAAATCTATACTTGGATCAGGAGGCAGTCGTCAGAACAGAACAAGGAAATACTGCATGGTTCAAAATCAGGAAGATTGTATACCAGTGGTGTGTCCTATCTCCATACCTTTTCAATCTATATGTATAGCAAATCATCCGGGAAACTGGGCTCTATGAAGAGGAGTGTGGCATCAGGATTGGTGGAAGATCTATCAACAACCTGTGTTATGCAGATGACACAACCCTGCTTGCTAAAACTGAGGAGAACCTGCAGTGCTTTTTGCAAAAGATTAAGGACTACAGCCTTCAATATGAATTGAAGCTCAACATCAAGAAGACAAAGATTCTCCCCACTAGGCTGACTGGAAGCATCATTATGGATGGTGAAGAGATTGAGATTGTTAACAGCGTTAGTTTCCTTGGCGACACAATCAACACTCTTAGTACCAGCAGCCAGGAAAACAAAAGACAAATTGCATTGGGAAAGTCTGCTGTGAGGGACCTCTCCAGAGAACTAAAGAGTAATAACATCAGTCTGGAGACTAAGAAGTGACTGATTTGGCCATAGTCTTTGCAATTGCTTGCTATGCAGTAGAAAGCTGTACAATGACTAGGGATGATTAAAAGATAATTGATGCCTTTGGGTTGTGGTGCTAGAGATGAGTCTTGAACATACCATGGACTACCAGAACAAACAGGTTCATCCTAGAGAAGGTGAGACCAGGCTTCTTCTTGGAGGCAACGATTCTGAGGCTTTGTCTGACCTACTTTGGACATGTTGTCAGAAAGGTCAGATCTTGGAGAGGGACGTCATGCATAGAAAGGTGGAGGATCAACTTCAGACAAGATGACCCTCAACAAGATGGCTTGACACAGTGACTGTAACAATGAGTTAAAGTGTGTTGGAGTTGGTGAGGATGGCACAGGGCAGGACAAGGGTTCAGAGCCATTGTTCATAGGGTTGCTATGAGACGTAGCTGACTTGACAATAAATAACAGTAACAACCCTGTATTTGTGCTACTGTCATTTGTACACTTTTCTAAGAAAGAAAGAAAACAAGGAGGAGATCTAGGATTGTTTCTCTGTTGTACAACCAAGGTGATTAGCTGTCTTGTTTTACCCATGACTGAAGGTCATCTTAGGAAGGGAACTTTCAGTTCTAAACGCAGAACAACTTCAGGCAGACAAGATAATCGGATATTCAGGTCAAAAGTAGAGGGAATTTTTGACAGACAGAAATAGGAGGCCAACTTCAACCTAGCCTAACCTGTTCTACCAAGTCACAACGTGCGCAGATGGATGAGATACAGAACTTTTCTTTTGTTCTCACTCTGTCTTGCTCATCTACTAACCAGCAGCTAAGAGTGCTCCCCACCGTTTGTCCCCAGATGTCCATACAACAGCCGAGGGCAGGTCACTTCATCTCTTCCTTAATCAAACTTGCACCAAGCTCTTTCTGCCTTCCTTGATTATTTCAGACTCTTAACTGAAGCCAAAACCCTCAAGTTCTGATTTCAAAGGGTGGAAATTACTGCCACCCACAAAAAAAATAAAGTTTCATTTGTTCAGGATTCAGTAACTTAAATTAAGAATAAAGAGACACCCTTCCCACCCAAAACAGCCCATCTCTTTTCGCCAGCCAAGGAAATAATCAGTTGCCCTCTTTTCCAGCACATAGGGGAAAGATGTTAATTTCTTCTCAAGCCCAGTTTTCTTTTATAATTTCCTAAAACCAACATCTTTTCTCTGGCATTATGAGAAGAGATTGATTTATATCCCAACTAAAAAGCAAAAGATAAAGGGGGGGGGAAGGTTTTCCTCTCACCCCCTACCTCAAGTTGGACATAAAATGTGGTTCATCTTCAGACGACATGAGCGAAGTCAACTGTGTGTTGAGCGAGAAGATATCCTTAGGACACTTAGAGAAGTAGCTTCCAAACCAATTCATTTTTAAAGGTGTTTTCTTGCCCACAAATTATCCTTTTTGCTTTGCAGGCTGACTGGTTCTAAGCATAGGCTCAACACAAAGTGAAACATCCACTCTAAAGAACGTTGCCTTGTTATTCTAGAATCTGAGGTCATAGCAGTGTAATTGATTGGCATCTTACTTCCTTGAAGACCAGTACAAAACTGACTATGGGGATGTCCATCTTCTTAATCTTAAGAGAAATATAAGTGAAGGTAGAGTACAAGTTAAAAGAAAGGGGGAGGGGAATGAGCTTCAGTGGAAAAATCCTTTTGCTTTAAGAGATACTAGTAACAACCAGCTTTAGTTTGCTTGGCTCCATAGTCAACAGTCTTGGCACCAGCAGCCAGGAAATTAAAAGGC